GGAGGGAGGCGCCTGCGGAGGAGATCCCCGGCCCTGGGGCGGACTTCGTGGACTTGCTTTGCGGGGAGCGAGGCGAATGCGAGCCGCGGCGCAGCGACTCATGAAGGTCTTCGTGACGCGGAGGATCCCCCCGGAGGGGCTGGCGGTCTTGCACCAGTCTGGCGTGTAAGTGGGCTGCCTGCTCCCTTTCCCTTTTCGGGGGCGGGCGGGAGGTGTGCCCCGACCTTTCCCGGTCGCTCCCTCGGCGCGGGTTCCCTTCCCTTCCCTTTACAGGAGAACCGTCCATGCACGGGCAGAACTGCTGGGTAACTGCTGGTTTGGGCGTCTGGCTGCGGAGCCAGAGGTTGGGAGTTCGAACCCCCCCCCCGGGCCTCCTTGACAGGGGCTGGCCTCGATGACCTGTAGGGTTCCTTCCAGTTCTGAAGTTCTAAGATTAAAACATGTGGTGAAGAATTAGGTAACAGCGTTCTGGAGCCTGTTTGGAATCGATGCCAGAAGCAAGCTGGCAAATCCTGTGGTTCAAAAACCCGGACCCCCCTCTTCTTTTTCACCAGCCCAATTTAAGGGGCAGTGGCCTTGTTTAGTTCAGCTTCTCTGTAGTTAGGCAATTCAGTCAAAGACCTTTGCTGAACTACTGCGGATCAGCCAGGGATCTCTCAGTAGATCCCAAATTACCTCAAGCCTTTCATGTCCTGCAAATATATTGCTGAGCACCTGGGCTCCTTCCCATGATGTCCAAGATGACCGTATCAATTCTGGACCAGATTACTGAATCTGACATTTCTACTAAATGTCCCATTGGCTGGATAACAATGCATGAAATATTTAGGTGATTATTACCTTATATGTTTTTACTTGAGTCTTCCCCCAAGGAGCTACCTTAGTTTTGGTCAAGAGCAGGCAAGGGGAAGAACCCCAGACTTTGTTTTGACTTCAGTTCCCATCATTCTGGTTCATTTAGTTAGTAGTGAGGAATACTGGGAATTGCAGTTGAGCAATGTCTGGAAGGCAGTCCTGTTGCCCAACTCTGGTTTAGATACGTAAAGAGCACATAATAGATGGGGGGGGCTTTCAACTTGGTATTTCCAGTGCCACTTTGACACTTTAAAGTCTTATTGCATATGGTCATGAATAGACCACGTGAATATGGGTTTATGAAGGTAAAGTAGAACCTTCCTCAGTTAAGATAGGGTCAGAGTGGAAGTTAAAATGTGGCATACTTTATAAGTGGGCATTAATCCCTACTTTCCCCATGCACTTACAAGCAGTGAGCATATATTACATGGGGATTCATCTTTCTTCCCATTGTTTAAAAATTAACCTGAGGAGAAGAATTAAAGAGTAACTAATGGAGGGTTGTGTGATCATATGTGTGTCCTCTGTTATGTGGCCAGGTGTATGTAAACATTTCAGTGGTTACCTTTCACGGTGGCAGAAAAAGGCATCACTCTAAACCAGTGGTTCTCAACTTTGGGTCCTCAGATGTTCTTGGACTGCAAATCCCAGAAGCCTTCACCACTAGCTGCGCTGGCCAGGATTTCTTAGCATTGTAGTCCAAGAACATCTGGGGACCCAAGGTTTGGAACCACTGCTTTAAATTATTGGTAGTGGGAGAGAAGAGAAGCTCTCAAGTAGGATAATGATCAAGATTTGGTACTTTTCTTAGTGGGAATTTAGTCTGATGCCTGTAGCCCTAGATAGAAATACATGTTTTGTACGCAGATGGTCTTCCCATAGTGCTAAGGAAGGCTCTTGTCTAAAACCTGAGAGAGGAACTGTCAATCATTGTAGTTTTTGTTTGGACCAGAGGAGTGGGGAGTGGATCTGGATTCCAGACTTCCTTTGAATATTGGAGCTTAGTGGTTGTAGGAATGGGCATTGTTTTATTAAAAAACATGGAGGGCTGAGAATTACTGTAGCAATGGTGGCAATACAGGACAAAGGAAATGAACATGTGTGTATATTGGCCTTTTCCAACCTGGTACTTTCTAGGGTACTATGACTACAATTCCCATAATGCTCGTCTAACATGGACAGTAGTCCAAGGTTACAGGAAAAGTAGCTGAAAATATCTGGTGGGGGGGCAACAGGTTACTTAATCCTATGCCTTGTTTGTAAAATTAATAATTGTGGTGGGAATACAGTTTCTGGGCTGGATCACCGCAGAGCTACCAAAACCCCACTCCACCATGAGAGGAGCCAAGCAGAGATAGAAACCTCAAGGTGAGGCTACACCAGCTGCTGGTGGTCATCGAGTTAAGATGACCCCTCCCTCCCCTACATGGAGAACCTGGTTTAATAAGGCTACAAATTAAGAGTCAGTTATGAGAAAGCTTCCTGCTTCCACTGCTTGTCTTTTTCTGTCCTCGTGTGTTCTTTGTAGTTCTAACAATTCTGTGTGAACTACTTTATGAAATTTAATAAAAAGAGGACATAAAATGCTACTCTTGCTTGATAAAATCATGTCCATGCTTCCCCCATTGCCCAGCAAATCCCCTGAACCTAGAGTATTAAATAACAAGGAGGACGTTATCAGTTTCCACAAATATGTATTCAAATGGGTTTACAACAATAAAATAGCAAACATTATGTGAGCCCTCTATAGGCCACTAGAGCTTATTCCTCAGAAAGTGGTATAAGATTGCACCCAGAGGGTTCTAGCTTGCCTTTCTCTCTGACATGCTAGATTTCTTTATGCAGAGTATGTGTACACACAGAATAAAAAGAGGCTGCCTTGAAGCAGAACCCCATTGTTTTTTGTGAAGCACATGTTTCAGCCCTGTTCTATTGGCAACAAGCTCTGCTAGATTGTAACAGTGGTACAAAAAGATAACATTTTCCTTTGATCAGTAGCAAAGCTATTGTTTTATTATCCCTGGCCCTCATGCAAGTCCTCTAGTCTAGCTTACCTGGAGAATGTAGGGAAGAGGAAGGCAGCTTTGCCAGTGCTTCTCCCCGGCTCAGAGCGATGGGATCCTTTTGATCCTTAGAAATCTTCTTTCCGTGCCAATGTAGGGAAGAGGAAGGCAGCTTTGCCAAGGCTTCTGTCTGCTCCCTGGCTCAGAGTGATGGGATCCTTCTGTTTCTCAGAAATCTTCTTTCCGTGCTACAGGACTCCAGACAGAAGCCTTGTTATGCCGCACCGGACTTTGATACAGGTGGAAGTACATAGAGGCACTCATACTCCTTGCTATCTGATCCAAAGCTTAGCATCACGCCATCCCTGTTCTGTCTTGGCCTACACAACGTACTTAGAAGCCCTGCAAGCTGGTTTTTGTCATAGTCCACCGCCCTTGCCTTTGTACCTGTTTGATGATGCACACTTTTGTGACCATTTTGCCCACACGCTGCCTCTGCCACCTCAGTCAGAAAGAGAGGTACTGTACCAATCAGCTCCTGTGTATATCCACCTCACTGGAAAAAGGTGCCTGCTTTTGTTACCTGCTTCAGTGAGAACCAATCAGCTCCTGTGTATATCCACCTCACCAGAAAAAGGTCCCTGCTTTTGTTACCTGCTTCAGCGAGAAAGGTAGGGACGTGGTGGCGCTGAGGGCTAAACCGCAGAAGCCTTTGTGTGCTGCAGGGTCAGAAGACCAGCAGTCGTAAGATCGAATCCATGCGACGGAATGAGCTCCCATCGCTTTATCCCAGCTCGTCAACCTAGCAGTTCAAAAGCATGTAAATGCGAGTAAATAGGGACCACCTCGGTGGAGAGGTAAACAAGCAGTTCAAAAGCATGTAAATGCGAGTAAAATAGGGACCACCTTGGTGGAGAGGTAAACAATGTTCTGTGTATAGCTGCACTGGCCACGTGACAACAGAAACTGTCTTCAGACAAACGTTGGCTCTATGGCTTGGAAACGGGGATGAGCACCGCCCCCTAGAGTCGAACACAACTGACTAAAATGTCAGGAGAAACCTTTACCTTTACCTATCAGTGAGAAAGAGAGTCTGGTCTCCTGCTGATCAAGTCTGGCTGCAGGAGTATCTGTCCACGTGATCTCATATTGATGCGGCTTGGCTGAAGGAAAGACATAGGCTATTATGTCCTCGTGCTGATGTGGTCTGTGTCACCTCATGCTGATGGGGCTCAAGGAGACCGAAGAGGACCGACCATTGTGATTTCCTATAAATGTAGGTGGGGAAAGGAGCATCTGGCTTTGTGACCTCATGGTAAGGCTGCCTGGCTCAAACAGAGAGGCAGGCCATTGTCACCTCATGTTGCTGCTACCTGGATGAAGACCTGTGCTGCACTTACCAAACTAGTGCCAATTCTCCACACATCCAGTCACCTTGTTGACAAGGTTAGAAGTCCAGGTTTTCTGGCAAATTTCTTGTCTTGGCCAAGATGCCTACCAGTTAGCACCCACTAGACATCTCCCACAAGCTAGCGACAAGCTGCAAAGGATCCAGGGAAGGTTGCCACTGAGCTTTGGAACTAGCACGATATAGTTTGGTGAGCTGATTTTTGGAGGGGCTGGTGCAAATTCGGACCAGTCTGTCAAGTACCAGTTATCCGGAGAAATTACAACCATCAAAACCAAATTGTTGAAATTAATTATACTAGAATTCCAAAATACCAAATGTTGCATTAGAGTACTATTTAATTTCTGGAAGAAGTAATGTTGTAGTGTTAGAAACTTATTCTGCTGTTTTAATTTAACATTGTTCTTTGTGGGAACACCCACAATATCATTAGTTTGGTGCTCAGAATATCACCATCCCAGAACAGTGGCTGCTTGTGCTTACTCTTTCATTGGCTCCCCTTCCCACGTTGGTCAGTCTCTTCCATCATCCCACACCCTTCTCTATGCTGGCTATGGCTAATGGGAGTTAGACTTGAACAACATCAGGAGGTCCATTCCTAGAAAGCAACGGTGGTCTGTGGGACCTGCCTCTGTGCCCAAGAAGGGGGAAGTTTGCACTCAAGGGTGTAGGAGAGAGTAGGGAAAGGAAGAGAAGAAACTCATAATTGGTCCCAGTGAAAAGGCTGTGTGTGTTGTTGTTGTTTTTCTCATGAAAAGGGTTGGGTCTCCTTTTCAGATACACAGCATCTGCAGAAGGCCACAGTGGCTAGCCTCACTCCTTCAAACCTAAGCAGGAATTCTCAGTAGCCAGTCTTGAGCAGATACAGGTGGGCATAGCTCCTTTTAGAAGGGGACATATGGAATCCTGTTGGGAGTGGCAGAGATAGTGTGGGAGCAGAGTGTCCATCAGAGTCTGTCTTCTCAAACTGGGTAGGGACACCTGAACAGAGAAGTGGCAAGTAGGAGAAAGAAGAGGCATGGCAGGCAGACCAGTGCCCACATATTATAGGGCATCTGTAGTGAATATCCCAGTATGGATTGGGACCACAAGAGGTAGACGTGAATGAGGTAGTGGTCTCCAACATAACCAGGCAACCACATTCAGGGCCTGCCATAGCTGGTCAAAAATGAATTTTGAAGTGGAAATGATTGGGAAGAAGTCTTTTACCATTTTATCAGTAAAAATGTAAGCTCATTTTCAATACCTTAACCTTTTTCAGATATTAAACAGGAGTGAAATAGCTTTTGTTTATCAAATGATACATTATCACTCATTGTCAGTGGTGCAGCTGCCGTTTTTATTTCTTCTTCCTATTCCCTGCTGTAATAATTCACCAAGAGCAGTACTGCCCAAATCTTAACAATTGTGCCTCTAGCTCTCAATGCTACTTAGTAAAGTGTGTGGATTAAAACTGGGCCCCGCTGATAAACTGCTGAACTAACCTGAGGATTTAAAACAAGGAAAGCCTGCCGCCTCCAATATGGTGCATTGTTACAGGATCTGCTTCTTTATGTAATTCCACCTTTTTCTCTCTCCTCTGCAGTTGCAGTGTCCAGCAGTGGGATTCGGATGAGCCGATTCCTCAGTCTGAGTTGCTGGCAGGAATAGCTGGCAAGGATGGTCTTTTGTGCCTCTTGTCCGACCGGATAGACAAGGAAGTCCTGGATGCAGCAGGTGTGTGCCCCTGGAATTGCTGGCAGCTTGTTTGGGTGGCGTAGATGAGGAGCATGTAAGAAACAGGTGGTAAAAGTTCCTTTCTCAAACTACAACTGGCCGTGTTGTCCATCTAGGAATTGTAGTCTAAGAAAAGAATTCAGTAGTATCCAATAGGAATACTCTGTAAAAACCATAACATACTGGGTGCCAGCCAAGCCATGTTACAGGGCCAGGCAGTGTTTCTGGTTTCTCCCAGATGCCAATCTGAATAAGCCACACTACAGCCTGCACATGAAGCTGGAATCAGTTCATGTTACAGAGAGAAAAAACATCAATAAATTCCTGGGATTTGAATCAAGTCTGCCTTCATTCTTCTTCTTATCTCCATTCTTCTGGGAAAGCTTGCATCCAATTCCTCAGGATTATCTAGCCAGACAAGCTGACTGGAGAGAAAAAAGAAGAAAAAAATTCCCTCTCCAAAATGTGTTCTTAAATCCCTTGATTTGTGTGTTTGTATGTTCCTTCTTCACCCATCCTGCAGAGAAAGAAACTCTGGTCTTGATGGTTAAATATTACCTTTTACCATAATTTCAAAGGCTACCTAGGATTTCAAAACCCCACCTCTATCTACTCCATTGTTCAACTTATTATTTGCTCATGGAAAAAGACTCCTTTTCCTAAATGGGAGTACAAACATTCGCCTTGGCCATAGTTCAGATGACCTCCATTGACAACTGAAATCAGTGTAGCCAGCCAAACAGTAGTGGCCTTGCTCTTGGCATACCAGGCTGCCTGCACAAATATCTATATGTGACGTTGCAGTATCACTGCCTGAGTTGCTAAAGGGTAACCATCAAGGATGCTGTCTTATGCCTCCAGCCCAAATGAATAAGAAAGGAAGGCTCCTGAGCTTCTTATGCATATGAGGAGAGCCATGAGAGATTACACCAAAGGCTTGTCTAGTTGTCATATTCAGTGACCAACCAGAACCCCACAGCAAGACATGACTTCAGTTGTGTCTTCCCACTGGTGTTTTCCAACTAGAACGGTGGTTATTCAGTGACCAACCAGAACCCCACAGCAGGACATGACTTTAGTTGCGTCCTCCCCCTGGTGTTTTCCAACTAGAACGGTGGTTCCCAACCTTGGGTCCTCAGATGTTTTTGGACTAAAACTCCCAGAAGCCTTCCCTACTAGCTGCACTGGCCAAGATTTCTAGGAGTTGTCATCTAAGAACATCTGGGGACCCAAGGTTGGGAACCACTGAGCGACAGTATTCTCTTATTTTGAACTAGGTCTGCACATCTAAAGCCCAACCTATATAAACTTGATCTCTGCATTGTGAGCAGAATAGTTTTGAGGAATCATGATCAACTCAATTGCAGCTGCGTAGCTTCTGTGCCTGTATAAAAAGGTAAAGGTTCCCCTTGACAATTTTTGTCCAGTCCTGTTCGACTCTAGGGGGCAGTGTTCATCCCCGTTTCCAAGCCATAGAGCCAGCGTTTTGTCCGAAGACAATCTTCCGTGGTCACGTGGCCAGTGCGACTTAGACACGGAACACTGTTACCTTCCCACCGAGGTGGTCCCTATTTATCTACTCGCATTTACAGGCTTTCGAACCGCTAGGTTGGCGGGAGCTGGGACAAGCGACGTGAGCTCACTCCGTCGCGTGGATTCGATCTTCCGACTGCTGGTCTTCTGACCCTGCAGCACAGGCTTCTGCGGTTTAGCCCACAGCGCCACCACGTCCCTTATTGTACCTGTATATCTCTCATCAAATGTATAATACTCGACTTCAGGAAGTCTGAGGGAGGGAAGGGTGATGCACAATGCTACTGTCCTGCAGTTGGCGCTCACCCAGGGCGAAGCCAGCACAGAGCAGCTTTTTGGGTTGAGCATGCTCCCCCAAACACAGAACAGCTGCATCGAGTGACAGTTGGCTGATGAGACAAAAATAAAGGTAACACAGTGGGGTTTTGTGATGTAAACGTTCTGAACATCTTAAGCACAATCCTGGAGTGCAGCTGACAGTGTGTTGCGGTAGCTAACGTGTTAAACTGAGACTTGGACGATCTAGGGTCAGATCTCCACTTAGCTATGAAACATTCTGTGTGGGTGATTGGGAAAGCGGTCACACTTCCTCGGCCTTCCCTGCCTCACAAGGTTGTCCTGTGTATAAGGTAGGGAGGAGGGAAGCCAAGCCCACTGCCTTGAACTTACTGGAGGAAAGGCAGGATATAAAGGTAACCAATAAACTAAATAAATAATTGTTCAGCTTGAAAATGCATTCGGGCAGATTTTGGCTATTTGGAAGTACTGTGTGCCCCACCTGGGAAAAGGTTGTTCCAGAATGCTACTTCCTGCACATACTTGCTTACTATCATCTTCGAATTGATCCAAATGTATAACTTTTCATCTGTGACTTGTATTTATTGTTTAATCACGAAGAGAAATGCACTGAAGCTTGCATTCCTGACTAGTGAAAAGTCTCTTGTTTCCATTCATGATCTGAACATTTTAAAGTCTTTCCTTTCGCCATGCTGGGAAACCTCATTTTAAGTATTGCACCCTCTTATTTGTGTGAACTTTGTTAGTGACTAGACAGAAATGCCTAGAAACAATGAAGTTTTGGAGAGAAAATGGATTGAATGAAATTTAAAGCATTATTAATGCTAGCCCTTAGGGTGATGTAGTATGTAATTCTATTTTACAGTGGTGGTAGGTTTATGTTGTGTAGGTTGTTAAAAATAAATAAATTTTTTAAAAAAGAGAAATGCCTAGAAATAAAATTTCTTTCATTGTTGAAACTGAAAAGAAAGTCAATGAAAGTCAACATATTCAGGCTCATCATTTCTCTCAGTTGCTATTCACAAGGGGCTTTCTCTCTTGATAGCTGTTGTTTTTAGTCTTTGATTTTTCTCTTTTGCAGGGCCAACCCTCAAAGTAATCAGTACATTGTCTGTGGGATATGACCATCTTGCTATTCCTGAAATTAAGAAACGGTAAGACTTGCATCACTGGAGGGGTTGTTCTTATGTTACTCTGACAGGAGAGAAGGGGGCCAGGAACAGCTTAGGGAGAGAGCTCCAATGGGATGCTTAACCTCTCCAGCCCCATCTAGTCTCCGCTCACAATTTCTCCACTGAAACATCTTCCCATAGTTTATTTACCCCAGGAAATAAAAAGTGACTGAGTTGCAGATACGTATATTTGCATACATATATTTGCTAGTGCATTGTATAGTAATGTTTATACTCCTATATGTAACCATAAATATTTTATATAGTAGAAGTCTCTAAGTTAGCCTAAAAATGCAAATTTGTCATATTCGAATGTTTAGGAATCAAAGGGGAGCATGCGAGGAGTGGCCAACTTGCAGCCTTCCTGGTCACTTTTCTGGCCCATGAAGCCCCTTCCACATATACATACCGAGTTACCAGAAACCAAGCATTTGATCAGAAGAAGACTGGTCCTCCTCGAAGCATTATTTTCATTTGCCAGTAATGCTACGAAAATTGAAGGCAGCAGGAAAAGAGGAAAGACTCAACAGGAGATGGATTAAGTCAATAAAGGAAGCCATGGCTGTTTTGTTTGCAACACTTGAGCAGGGCTGGTAATGATAGGATGTTTGGGAGACCAATAATTCATAGGCTCACCAAACATCAGAATTGATTTGACAGCACATAACAACAAGACTCCTGAATAGTTAATTACTTCTCGTCAGTAGGTCTGTGACCAGCAATGTTAACATATTCTTGGCATTGAGCCAAGCTTGTAATGCAGAACAATAGCTAAGCTTGAAGATGTTTTAGAAGGGTTAAGAGGTCTTTTAACTGGCAAGGCACCAGAGATTTAATTCCTCTTTGTTCGGGATCTCGAAAGGACAAAGAGGCCAGCTGCCTTGGCCAGGCAGATATAGGAAGGGGAAAGGGCAGCCAGATGAGGAGCTATATTTTGAATGAGGGCGATAACTCCTGAGATGCTTCCACATGACGTTGCCATTCTCAGGTCAGCCCAGAGAATAATTCATACATACAATATGCTTCTTGAAGTGTGACCGTAACCCACATTCACGTTTTAAGAAAAGAAGAGCAAAATGAAGCCATTCAGTGAGTACTCTCATGATTCCCAGGAAGCATCTCACTGCCTCTTTTTCAATTTTAGTGGGATCCGTGTGGGGTACACACCAGACATCCTGACCGATGCCACTGCTGAGCTCACTGTAGCTTTGCTCCTGGCAACGTCTCGCAGGCTGCCTGAATCAGTGGTGGAAGTGAAGAAGTGAGTCTGTGTTGAGCCAGTGGGAATGTGTTGGGGAAAGTGGTACCGCCCCAGCTTGTCTTTCAAGCATATTGTGCATATGGGGAACAACTGGGGGTTGGGTCTCCTGTGCAACTCCTTGCCCTGTTGCTTTGAGTGACTCTGGATTTTAAACAAAAGCATCGTTTGCACCACCAGCAAAGGCAGTCAGTCCAACAGTAACTGGATTGTGCAGAGAAGGTGTTCATCTGATTGAAGTCTTATCTGTATAAAAAATTATATGGACATGAAATATTAGATACAGAGTACATGTAATCTCGGGAGGGACGTGGTGGCGCTGTGGGCTAAACTGCAGAGGCCTATGCTGCAGGGTCAGAAGACCAGCAGTCGTAAGATAGAATCCACGCGACGGAGTGAGCTCCCATCACTTTGTCCCAGCTCCTCGCCAACCTAGCAGAAAGCATGCAAATGCAAGTAGATAAATAGGTACCATCTTAGTGGGAAGGTAAAACGGCGTTCCCTAGTCTTTTTTTTTTACTTTACCTTTATTGGCATAAAAAGCGCATACAGACATACAAAGGGTACAAAGTACAACTTGTGGGGACAGCCCCTAAAACACTAAAACTTAGGATTGGATTCTCGTTCTGTATTAGTTTGGATTATGTCTAGCAAGAATTTGCCGAGGATGGTCAAAGAGTGCTCGTCGGACCGCTGTAAGCGTTCCCTAGTCATGCTGGCCACGTGGCAACGGAAACTGTCTTCAGACAGGTGCTGGCTCTATGGCTTGAAAAGAGTCGGACACGACTGAACTAAAAATGTCAAGGGGAACCTTTACCTTTACCTTACATGTAATCTCATGCTCTATATTCCTGTCATCTTGTTTTATTGCTACAAAAGCCTCTTTTTCTGGAGGACGCATTCAGACCTGTATTTCGGAGCTCTTGTTTTTATAGTAACAGAGTGCATGCGAGGAGCTTGGAAAAATCTAAAATGTTGTGTAAAATTGCTCAGTGGATGCTCTAGGACTGAAGACCCCAGTTCAGTACAAGGCTTGGTCCCATGCTTGAGCTGTGTTGTGGTGGCTGTTAATGGATCAAGGCCTCAAGGCACATGCTGGCTGTGCCTGTTGCACGCAGGAGGCTGGCTGCATGACACAACGTACTCTAGTGAGCAGCTCGTTTCATATAGGGAACAGAAGGAGAAAATGAAAGCATTAGGAATGGACTGGAACTGTTCCTCTGCATGGCAGAGGGAGCATCTCATCAGCTTCTGTGAGTTGCCACTGATATGTCCATGGTTGGTCATGTCACAGCTTTGAACTCAGAGTCTGTCCAGGATGTGCAGGGTCCCCACCCCACCCCTGCCTTGCTACCGTCTTGGAGTTGTTCTGCCGCGTAGACTGAGCTCCAAAGCACAATCTTGGGTTACTTGCCTAATATTCCTTTTTTGTTCCTCGTTTGCAGTGGAGGCTGGACAACATGGAAGCCCCTCTGGATGTGTGGCTATGGACTTTCTGGCAGCACCGTTGGGATTATTGGGCTGGGAAGAATAGGTAACCCCTGGTTTACGTTTTCATTTTGACACAATCTCGCAGCTAGTTTTATCTTGACAAAATATCTGCAGTCGCACAGGTTGAGAGGGAAACAAACAACCATCGGCCCCCAAAAGTGTCCTATTTATTTCCAAACTCAAATGCAAAATCACTGACGTCAGCTACCTACTTCAGCAGGAAGGGATGTTTTCTAGAGCAGGCAGAAGAAATTAGAGATATGCTGATTGTATCAGGTTTCTAGAGCTGGATTTGGGTTATTATTGGTTTTGAAATGTGCTCCCTTCATCTTATTTCATCTCTGCAACACTGTGGTCCTAGTACTGATTAATGCCTTAAAGGAAATGTGGTGGGAAGATCTTTGGGCCTCCAGGTTTACAACTCCAACAATCCCTTGTTATTGGCCATTATGGGTAGAGTTGATGGAAACTGCAGGTCAGAACATCTAGAGTTGCCAGAGGTCCACACACACACACACACACACACACAATTCAACATGTGTCTGTGATCCTGGAAGGTACTTGAATGCCTAAACCTTTTTTTTATTTCAGCTTTAGTGCAGAGGGGGTGATAATTCAGCCCACTGTAGATACCTCTGGAGCAAAGACCTCACTGTCCAAATAAGCATGAGAATTCCTTGGCCATTGTAAGAGGTCAACCTTTTCTGATGAACACTGGATATATCTGCAGTGTCTGGACATGGCACGTCAGAATGTTTTTGGGCAAGGCTAGTGAACTCATGCTTTTCCAACTTTTCCAAGTGTTGATGAACAGCTGTTGTCTTTGTCGCTCACTATTGGTCAAGCTGATGGGCATTAAACTACGAGTACATCTGCGGAACAATCTCCCTCCACCCAAACTTTGGGGTTAGTTGTGGTCTATAAAAAAATTTCCCTCAATGCTCTGGTTAATTTTTTTCCCAATGTTTATGCAGTACTCCCACTTTACTCAGCTATATATACTCAGGTAGGATTGCAGTCTTAAGAGTGGACAGAGATTGCAAACTTATAGAATGGCCATTGTGGGTGTAGCTATTTGCCAAAACAAGACAATAACACTGTGCCAAATTGAAAGATGTTAACCACACAGTGGTTAATCAGGGTCATATGTGGCAGAAGGGTTGTCTGTGTCTATCTTGACTCTTCTATTGTCAATGTACACAAGAGATTGCAAACTTATAGAATGGCCATTGTGTGTGTAGCCATTTGCCAAAATAAGACAATAACACTGTGCCAAATTGAAGGATTGTCAATGCACACACAATGCCATCTCATCAGTTTTTCCATAGAGCTCTTTCCCCAGCATTGTCTACTTCTATTGTCAATGTACACAAGATGCCATCTCATCAGTTTTTCCATAGAGCTCTCTCTCCAGCATTGTCTAGCTAGCTCAATGGTTCTCAACCTTGGGTAACATAGGTGTTCTTGTCATGCACTGCAACTCCCAGAAGCCCTGGCCAACACAACTAATGGTGAAGGGAACCACTGAGCTATCTATTTTTATCGGTACTGTTCTGCAAAGGCTGGACTACAGTTACAGCCTTTTCTTCCCTTTGGCCATATGGCTGATAGAAGTTGTAGTCCAACAGGATCTGGATGACTAGAATCCCTACCCCCAGTTTTGAGCTGTCAGTGTGGAACAGGAAAACATTGATATGTACAGATAGGGGTTTTGGGCACACCTTCAATGTTCTGTAAGGTGCTACTGCAGTTTTCAGGACTGCTCATAGCTTCTCTCTCTTAATAGGGAAGCATCTTTAATAAGCGATATGATCTCCTGTGGTGTCATTCACTCCTGTTCCTAGGCCAGGCTGTAGCACACCGCCTGAAACCATTTGGAGTCCAGAAATTTTTGTACACTGGACGTCACCCCAAACCTGAAGCAGCTGTGGAGTTGGGAGCAGAATTTGGTGAGAATCCAATCTTTATCCTTACTAGAGGTGCTTTTTGTTAGGTGCTGATTTTTTTATTTAAAAAATTTGAATGGTTCTTTGAGCAGTGTGAATAGTGGACAGCTGATATTTGGATACATTTAATGATTTAAAAAAACTGAACTGGGAAGTGTATGCAATTAGATTTATGGTCACATTTTGCTGAAAGCAGGGTGTTTTCACTGAACCCTTGTATATGTGAATTGTGGGCTTCCGTTTAACAAAATCTTAGCTCCCGTTCTCATTGAAAGCAATGGAGGCAAAGAGAGGACAACAACTTGTTCTTTAATAAGACACGCCTTCCTTCTCTCCGAGGGAAAAAAGGCAACTGATAATCCCCATTAATGTTTGTCTACCTAGAGGCACCCTTCTCTCCTAGGGAGAAGTACTGAACATGCTGCTTAGGGGGAGAGAGAGTCCAACTGTTGCCCAAGGCTGGATTCACATGCCAGAGTCAGGGCTGCAGGGAGACAAAACAGGCACACTTTGGAAGGTCACGCATTGCCTTAAAAAAAAAGAACAAGTGGGATTCTTTGGAAATCAAAGTGACGACTTACCCTTTTCCAGAAATTATTTGCATTGCTGCTACTTGTAGCGAATTTAACCTTCACATCACTGCACATAATCCCACATACGGCCTATATGAGTGCTGCTTAAGTGTCTAGCAGATAACATCATTCAGTTTAGCATGCCTGAGATCCCCTCCGTGTGGCTATGTCAGCAGACGGCTATCTTGTTGAACAGGAAGGGCCAGTGAACGAGTGTGAATAGAAACAGCTAAGCTTCTTCAAACAGTTTGTTGTATGTTCATTTTCTGCCTCTTTTTTCTCAAGTACCCCTTGCCCAGCTAGCAGAGGAGTCTGACTTTGTCATCGTAACCTGTTCTCTGACGCCGGACACTCAGGGGATGTGCAGTCGGGACTTCTTCTGTAGGATGAAGAAAACTTCTGTGTTCATCAACACAAGCAGGTGAAAAGAGCCATGGGCCAAAGTGTCAAAGAGAGTGAAATCCAAAATGACGGTTGGGTATTTACGTTTATCACTAAACTATCTTTAGCTGCTCAGTGGTTTAGGAATCTGGTTGTAGAGCAAGAGGTTGTAGCTCCAAGGAGAATAGCCAGGCGATGTAGTCTTGGCCAAGCTGCACCGTTTCAGGACGGCTTCAGAAGAAGGGAATGGTAAACCACTTCTGAGTATTCTCTACCGGGAAAATACTGAGAAGGGCTGCCATAAATCAGAATCGACCTGATGACATAGGATGATGATGATGATTTTAAACTATCTGTAAGAGGCAAGCAACTTACGAACCCGCCCTATAGGGGAAATAAGGACTCGACATACGAACTTCTCTCGAGTTACGAACAGGAAAAAAGTGCCCCCTCCCTGCCCTTAGAGGCTTCTGGAGGGGAAAAAAAGTGCAGAAACTTAAAAATAAATAAAAGAAAGTCATTTACCAGGCCTTGGTAGCTCCCAAACAGCAGGAAAAAGAGCAGGAAACAGCTAAAAGCCCACACCAGAATGGAGCCTGGCAGCCATTTTGTGCTTCCCCCCCCCCCCCCCCCCT